AGGGGCTCACTGATGGTTTGAGGCACATCTCATGCCCTCTCTGACCTCAGCTGCCTCATTTGTAGAAGGAAAGTGTTGATGCAAACCTCACAGTGTTGGCGTGAGCACTACACAGGATCGTGTAGGATAAAGAGCCCATTTCAGGCCGGATGTAGTGACTCATATTCACGCCTATAATCCCAGTGCTTTGGGAGGCTGAGGTGGGATGATCGCTTGAGCCCAGGAGTTTCAGGCCATCCAGGACAGCAGAGTGAGATCTCATTTCTACAAAAAATGAAAAAATTAGCTGGGTGTGGTGGCATGCATCTGTAGTCCTAGCTACTCAGAAGGCTAAGGTGGGAAGATCACTTGAGCCTGCGAGAGCAAGGCTTCAGTGAACTGTGATTGTGCCACTGCACTCCAGCCCGGGTGACAGAGCCAGACCCTGTCTCCAAAAAAAAGTGGGGGGGGATGGGCAGGGTGCAGGTGGGGGCTGGACAATAGGCTCTGAGAAGCATGTCATTGTATTTGTCGGTATAGTATAAAATAACTAAACTATCCAGATATCCATTATTAAGAAATAATCAAAAGAAATACAACACAAACATAGAGTAGAATATTATGCAGCTCTTACAAAGAACAAAGGAAGGCATGGTCAGAGTTCTTGGATGCAAGCAATAGACATGCCATGCCTGGCTGATAGCAGAAAGACCATTTCACAACTCCAGGGTGTACAATCCACACTGGGCTCCATGTAAATACCTGCCTCCTGCTATGTTTTTTGAAACTGTACAACTTGGAAACTTTCCAAAGATATCAGGGAGTTTATAGAAATAATGATCAGAAACCAAGAAAGTCAGCCAAGGTCACCGGCAAGAGTCATCTGGTCAGGATTTTGTCAGTGGCGCTCAACATCACCCCCATCATAAATGACTTTCCAACTGTTTCTGTACCTTTGACTTATTCTTTCAAGACTATATCCACAAAGAAAAGGCATAGAATAATGAAACCTCAGCCATGCATTTTATTTATTAACAAACACTCATGTTTGTATATTCTGTATGCCGGGCTCTGTTCTAAGAATGTTAAGTGGATGGTCTGATTGCTTTATCTGAGTAAGTTTAATCCTCACAACAATTCTATGAGGTGGGTGCTATTAACTTCATTTTCTGAATGACAAAACGGAGAAAACGTGTCCAATTTATTAGACAAATAAGCAAACCTGGGATTCTAAACCAAGCAAACTGGTTTCGGAGCACTATGCCAGCTGCCTCTATAGGGCTTAGGAGACTTCCAGAAGGAATCGCAAGAAACGATTCTGTGGTAATCTCTAGGGAATGGGATTAATGGAAGCAGGGGATCTTTTTTTCACTTGATAGGTTCTATGCTATATACATTTTATTTGTTTATTTTTTGAGACATTCTCACTCTGTTACCCAAGCTGGAGTGCACTGGCACAATCTCAGCTCACTGCAACCTCCGCCTTCCAGGCTCAAGCTATCCTCCCACCTCTGCCTCCCAAGTAGCTAGGATTACAGGTGCACGCCACCATGCCCACCTAATTTTTCTATTTTTAGTAGAGATAAGGTTTCATCATGTTGGCCAGGCTGATCTCAAACTCAAATGATTCACCTGCCTCAGCCTCCCAAACTGCTAGGATTACAGACGTGAGCCACTGTGCCCGGCCTAAGTTTTATTTTAACAATGACCTTGGATGGCTTGTACAATGAAAAATATTTTTAATACAAAGGTTTTACCTATCTGATTTTTTTTGTTTTAGTCTGTGTATGTGAAGCCAAAAACTAAGCTAGCCCTGAGGGAAAGAGGGCTCGAGTGCGCAGTGAGCCACCAAGGAATTCTGCAGGGGTTGGAGCTGGAGGGATGACTTGTTGAGGGCCTGAGATGAGAAGGAAGCAGAGGAGGAGGTGATTGCCACCACTCTTCTGCATGCTGCCGGCGTTTGGTAACTGATAGTTTTCTTTCTGTTTCACTATCCTGGGTCCAAAGAGACAGAAGAGTAGACAACCCTTGGAGACAGCAGCTGTGCCAGCTGCAGAAATGGAGCGAGCTGTGAGCTAGAATAGAAGGAGCGAAAGGTCAAAAACCGTGGCGAAACAGAGCCAGACACCACAGAGAGAGGCGAACCTCAGAGAGGGAGCCCCGCACTAGGCTGAAGTGACAGGCCCTTCCTGACCTGCACTTTCCTGCCCAAGGCCACATCTAGTGCATGGTACTACGTCTAAGAAACAGCTCTGGAAGTGCTGTCTCTGCTAACCATGAGGGAAGATACCGTCCTGTTTCCATGATTCAAACTCTCCAGGGAACCAAGAGGGCGGAGGGTGCTGAGTTCCCTCTGCAGGACCTGGGCTCAGGACTCCCCAGCATGTCCATGCTCTGTTCCTCATCTTAACAAGCTCTGAAAGCCATATAAACCCCCGCTTGCCTGGGCACCAAGAGACCCAGGCCCGGGGTTCTTTGTCCGGCTCGGTGCCTTCCCCTTCTGAGCTTTCCTGGCAGTGTTACTCTCCTCGCACTGTTACTTGGGTTCTCACTTTCGGTTCTTGGGTTAATAGATGTTTGTTTTACTGAATTCATGAGTTCATTGTAAATCTTCTACCCCATGACATAGGATGGGGGTAGAAACAAAGAAGCAAGGGCTAGCTGCCCTTATGTTGGGCATGATTAGGGAACTGGAATTTCATTCTATCCAGCAGGGCAGAGGGGGTAGGAAGAAAGGGAAATCAGAGAAAGGAACCAAGAGGTGAGCAAGGGAACCAGTACCTGTCAACACCAACATGCACCTGGTACGTAGCAGGGCTGGTCTTCAAATCCAGCACCATGGGGCTAATGCATGGGAACAGAAGCAGCTTGTAGGCTTCAGTGGTGGGGCTGGCAGAGTGAGGAAATGAAGGGAGAAGGACAGACTCTGCAGCCCAAATGCCAGATGCCACAGGCCTGCAAAGGCGCTACGACCCAGCTCCAAATCAGATCTCCAGCGCCATCCAGTGGCCACGAGGGAGATTGCAGGAGAAACGAACTGGTGCTTTCTCTCTGTGTGATCTTGGGCAGGCAACTCTGGCTTCCAGGCCTCAGTTTCCACAAATGTAAAATGAGTGGTAAGGCAAGGTGAGGTCACACGCCAAGTGGTGTCCATAGGGCCTTAGCTCATCTGATCCTCATGGCCAGTTAAGATGATCATTCCCACCCCCCATACTCCAGTCTCTCCTGACCACACATAGTTCATTCTTTACTCACCTGTAAAGTCCCCCGTGGCCTCCTGTGAAAATTCCAGCCACTGTTTAACGATCACCTCCCCGGAATTTCTCTCTCCTCTTATCTGAAGTTCCCTCTTTCTGCTACAGGTATAGTCAGGTGGACCGCAGCCCTTCTAGCCTGGAGCTTCCACAACTCAACAGCTTTTCTCAATCGTCAGTTTCTACCTCTTCACCAAGCCTAGCAAGGTGCCTGGCACAGAGTGCTTAAGAGCAGCTGCTCTGAAGTCAGTCAGCCTGGCTTCAAGCCCCATGTGGTAGGCAGAATAGCCGTCCCCACAAAGATGTCCACGTTTTAATCCCTGGAACTTGTGATTATGTCACCTCACATTACAAAAGGGTCTTTGCAGATGTGGCTAAGATAGAGAGCCTGAGATGGGATGATTATCTTTGATTATCAAGGTCATGCCAATATAATCAGAAGGGTCCTTATAAGACAGAGATGGAAGAGTCAGAGTCAGAGGAAGAGATGCGCTGACAGAAACAGGTTGAAGTGATGTGGGGCCAGGACCCAAGGAATTCAGGTAGCCTCTAGAAGCTGGAAAAGGCCAGGAAACAAAAGCTACCAGAAGGAATAAAGACTCGCCAACACATCTTAGACTTCTGACCTAAAAACTGTAAGGTAATAAATTTGTGTTGTTAGCCACTCAATTTGTGGTAACTTATTAGGGCAGCCATAGGAAATATCCTGGTTCAGTTTCTTACTGGTTATGTTACTGTTGGAAACTTAACCTTTCTGTGCCTCAGTTTCCTCATCTGTAAAATGGGGATGATAAAAGCAAGACGGTTTTTTATTCATAAGATGGTTGCAAGGATAAAATGAAAATCAGTTACAATAATGCTCAACACTAAATATGTTAGCTACTTAACATATTTAACAGCATGCAGAAGAGTGGTGGCAATCACCTGCAAATCAGTTATAGTAATGCTCAACACTAAATATGTTAGCTATTACTATAAGAATAGTTAACAGCTACCATTAATTGAGGGCCTGACAGGTACCAGGCACAGTGTCACATGCCTTAGAAGAATGTCCTTGATTCTCCCGATCACCCTTGAGGGTAAGAATTCCAGTCTCTACTTTGCAGATAAGGAAATAAACACAAAATAACTTTCCCCAAATCACTCTAGGAAGCATTTTAAACTTCGTGGTTTCTTGCATGCACCTGGAAAATGGTACTGGTTTGTGTTCTTTGCTGATAGAAGTGTTTTCGGCGGGGCTGGGATAGTGACAGAAGGAAGGCCCCAGGCTGGGTAGACAGGGGTCCTGGCTGATACCTCCTCCTCTTCCCACCTAGTGCAGGAGGGAGTTAAAATCGGGCAAAGCTCATTTATCCACTCCCACTCCATCCATTTAGGGTTCAATTACTGCCTCTCGGTTTCCCACCAATGCCACCCCCACACCGCACCCCTCACCAGCGCTCGGCCCTAGCAGCTTTTGAGCCAGAATTGGGGGCACCATGGGACAGGCCTGGCCGGAGAGCAAAGCGTTCAATCCGCTGGGGAATGGGGTGGCGCAGACTTGCTCAGACCCCAAGGATTCCTGTTGAACCCCCTCCCTTCCCGCAGCCTGCATAAGGAGCTATCTGTTCTCCGCTGAACAAACAAGCAGGGGAAAGCGGCGCCCTAGCGCCCGACCCCCGCACAATGCGCCTTTCTCCAAGGAGACGCTGCCCGGGCGCCGGCAAAGCGTGCTCCGTCTGGCTTCCCCTCCAGCTGGCGGTGCAGCAAGATCCAAAAACGGACCCGGTGGAAATCAGATTTTTTTTTTTAAGAAAAAGAAAACAAACAAATCCAACAAAGAACTGAGAGCAGCACGCGGCAAGGGCGTGCCGGTCTGGCACGTGCCCCTTCCCCCACCACCCGCTATCCCCGTGACCCCCGCAGTCCGCCTTCTGGTCCCGGCGAGGCCAGCTCAGCGCAACGCGGGAAGCCCGCCAGCGCCTCCGCCCGGACAGCCCAATCCCGACTGGCCCAGGTTCTGCCTGGCCCCGGCGCCCCGATGGCGCGCAGCGGGCAAGGTCCGTGGGGCCGCGCCCCAGCCCGAGTGGCCCTCACTTCTGGTTGGCCAGATGGTTCTCCAGATCCTCCAGGCGCGCGGTCAGCTGGGCCAGTGAGCGGTTAAGGAAGCCGCTGGGGTTCGCCGCGGTCCCTTCACTTTCCCTCCAGCCCGGGCCACCAGCCCCAAAGGATATGGTTCCGCGTCAGGTTCTCGAGCGCCCCCAGCGTGCGGCCCTGGAACTCCACGAGGCTTTCGCATTCACAGGGGCTCCGAAGCTCTGTCCCGGCGCTGATGCCCTCCTCTGCAAGCAGGGCACAGAGGGGCAGGAGGATGAGAAATTACGCTAGCCTTGGCCTTCTGATTTCCTTGCACTGGGCCTGTGGTTGAGTATATGGGCTTTGGATTCAGAGACACCTGGGCTGAGTCCCAAGCTAAGTAGCTGTGAAATACTGAGAAACTCACTAACCTTTCTAAGCTCGGTTTTCTCATCTATAAAATGGATATAATGAAAGAAGGTATGCATTAGTGGCTTCGAGGATTCGGTCACCTGTGTATGTGTGCGTGTGTGTGCGCATGTGCACAACTTACAAGAGTGTTTCTCAAACCTTATGGCTCTTTGGAATCATCAGGAGAGCTTGTTAACATATAGATTCTGATTCAGAATGGAGAAGGAGTTCAGAAGTTACATTTCTAATAAGATCCCAAATGATGATGGTGCTTCTGGTCTGTGGACCCCACTTTGAGTAGCACTCTCCAAATAAAGTTGTATGCAATGATGGAAGTGTTCTGTACCTGCCCCATCCGAAGCAGCAGCCACAAGCCACATGTGGCTGTTTAACGCTTGAAATGTGACTGGTGCCACTAAAGGTCTAAAATTTATTTTATTTCAATCCATTTTAATTAAATAGGTACCTGTAATAGCCACTGCCTACCTTTTTGAAAAAGCACAGATCTAGAACACTGCCTGCTTCAAGTAAATACTTTACAGCAGGGGTCCCCAACCCCCAGGCCATGGACCATTACCAGCACATCACATGGACCGGTACCAGCCCATGGCCTGTTAAAAACTGAGCCACACAGCAGGAGGTGAGCAGCCAGCAGGCAAGGGAGCTTCACCTGTATTTCCAGCTGCTCCCCATCGCTCCCATTACAGGAGCTCCTCTCCTGTCAGACCCATGGCATTGTTAGATTCTCATGGGAGCACAAACCCTATTGTAAACTCTGCATGGGAGGGATCTAGGTTGCTGGCTTATTATGAAAATCTAATGCCTGATGATCTGTCACTGTCTCCCATCACCCACAGATGGGACCATCTAACTACAGGAAAGCAAGCTGAGGGCTCCCACTGATTATACATTATGGTGAACTGTATAATTATTTCATTGTATATTACAATGTAATAATAGAAATAAAGTGCACCATAAATGTAACATGCTTGAATCATCCTGAAGCCATCCTCCCCACCACCATCATGGAAAAATTGTCTTCCACAAAACCAGTCCCTGGTGCCAAAAAGGTTGTGTACCACTGCTTTATAGTGTATTTCAACTAGACCAGTGATTCTCAAAGTGTGGTCCTTGAACCAGCAGCATCAGCATCATGTAGGAATTTATCAGAAATGCAAATTATCAGACACTGCCCCAAACATACTGAATCAGAAAATCTGGAGTTGACGCCCAGCAATTTGTGTTTTTAAAGGTCCTTCAGGTGATTCTGATGTACCCTAATGTTTAGAAACCACTAATCCTGATCCAACTCTATCGCCCTATACATCTCAACATCTTGAGGGTTGAGCAGGAGACCTTATAATTAAAATTGGCACATGTTTTTTCTTAGCAGCACATAAAATAATGGTGAATCTTAAAGTGAATGGTATCTTAGATTCACTAAATTTCTATAAGCATGTGCCATTGTTAAGATTACAGGAAGGCCGGGCGAGGTGGTTCATGCCTGTAATCCCAGCACTTTGGGAGGCCGAGGCAGGTGGATTATGAGATCAGGAGTTCAAGACCAGCCTGGCCAAGATGTTGAAACCCCGTCTCCACTAAAAATACAAAAAATTAGCCAAGTGTGGTGGTGGGCGCCTGTAATCCCAGCTACTCGGGAGGCTGAGACAGGAGAATCGCTTGAATCCAGGAGGCAGAGGTTGTAGTGAGCCAAGAGCATGCCACTGCACTCCAGCCTGGGCAACACAGCCAGACTCCATCTCAAATATATATATATATATATATATATATATATATATATATATATATGACAGGGAATGACTTAAAAAAATGCTACAACAAAAGTACCTTAGGAATACAAAGGAAAAGGATTACAAGTAGTGAAATAATAAGCCCAATGCCTGTCCTTTAGCCTTCAACAACACTGCTGTAATAATTTAAAAGTTGTCTCTTCATCTTGGTCTTGTATGTACTATTAACAAACTGCTGTAAGTCTTGTTATTGACAACAGTCCAGCAAAGATCCCTAATTTTACAGATGGAGAAACCAAGGGTTGGAGACAGGAGACAGTGATACTACCATTTGGTAAAGAGCCTTGACCACAGAGCCCAGACTTCTCTCAGAACTCCAAAGCTAGAGGTAAACTTGGGCAGCCAATGCCTCCTCTGTTACAGAAAAGAAAAGTTAAGGTAAGGGTGGGGGTAAGTGACTTGTCCAAAGTCACACTTCGGGGCATGTAAGAGTCAGCACAGGAAGAGCCCTGAAAGAGCAGCTAATTCAGGGACTCCACAATAATTAAAATTAGCTGGGGGCGGGGGGGTGAAGAGAGTGTGTGTGTGTGTGTGTGTGTGTGTGTGTGTGTGTGTGTGTTTGTATATGTATATACACATGTATATACATATACTTTTTTGGGACAAGGTCTCACTCTGTCACCAGGCTGGAGTGCAGTGGTACAATCTCAGGTCACTGCAACCTCCACCTCCCAGGTTCAAGCAATTTTCCTGCCTCAGTGCCCACCACCATGCCCGGCTAATTTTTGTATTTTTTGGTGAAGACAGGGTTTCACGATGTTGCCCAGGATGGTCTTGAACTCCTGATCTCAAGTGATCCACCCACCTTGGTCTCTCAGAGTGCTGGGATTACAGGCATGAGCCACTGCACCTGCCCCCACAACATATACTTAAAAAAAAAAAAAAAAAAAAAAAAAACAGATTCTCCAGATCCAGGTCAGCCCTACTTAATCTGCTTTCTGGAGCTGGAGCCTGATAAACTGGAAGAAGAGTCACATCGTAAGCCTGGGTTAGTGTCTAAAGACCCTAGGGTACAAGTTACCCTGGAGACATTCCCTATATCACCTAGAGCACAATACACACAATTCAGGAGCCCCCTTCTCCTCCACAGGTAGAGTTAGTCTTTTTCCTCAGCTGAGCACCAGATGATGAAGCAAAAGGATTGCACTTATGAGCTGCATTGCTCCCCTGACCAAAACAAAACAAAACAAAATGAAAAACAAACAGTCCTGCCTGTACTTAAAGTATACTCAGTCCTGCCACTTTGACAAGTTCATAAGGTTGGATTCTAACAAGTACAGGGGATGTATGCTGTGACTCCACTTACAAATGCTGTCTGGTGTGCCTTCAAAAAAAATTTTCCCAAATTATTCTGAACCTCCTCTGATTTGGGGGATGGGTAGCTTAGTCTAGGGTTTCTTAGACTTTAATATGCTTACAAATCACCTGAGAATCTTGTCGAGGTGCAAATTCTGATTTATTCAGTCTGGAGAGCACCAGAAATGTTTCAGTTCTAAGAAGCTACTGGGTCACCGCCCTGCAGCTGGCCTGCGGACCACATTTGGAGGTGCAAAACTCTGTCTAGTGAGCCCAACCTCTGGCTATGACTACAAAGAGGGTAGGGGGTGACTAGGAAGGGGAGCTATCAGAGGGCGGGCAATGAGAGAAAGGAAGAGCCCCGAGAGAGGTGCTCTTACCTGGGCAGATGCTGCCTTTGAGGTTCTCCAGCAGGTGCGTCATGGTGCCAAAGTCCGGGGCATAGGACACGTGCAGCTCTGCTGGCTCCGAGGCGATCTCGCGCAGCTCCGCCTCCACCGCCTTGCCCACGCCCACGGCGTACATGACGATGCCTACAGGGCCGGGGACTCAGAGGGTGCCCCAGGCCTCGGAAAAGCTGCCTCCCCCCGTCTGACCCAAGCCCAGCCTATTGTGTCCCATGCCAAGCCCACCTTCCTCCTTGGCACGCGCTGCCCACACCGAGATGTCATCCTGGGAGCGGCCGTCAGTGAAGACCAGACCAACGCGAGGCACGTTGAGGGCACGGGGCCGTGCACCCTGTGCCTCGGAGAAGCTGTGCTCCACCATGTGCCGCAGCGCCAGCCCTGTCATGGTGCCGCGCTCCATGTACTCCACGGCCAGGACCGCCTGCTTCACCTCGGCTGCGGTGCCGTAGCGGCCCAGAGGGAACTCGGTGCGCACGCGGCTCGAGAACTGCACCAGCCCCACACGCGTGCCCTCGGGGGACACATCCAGGAAGTCCACAATCTGGTTCACGAAGCGCTTCACCAGCTCGAAGTTTTGTGGACGCACGCTCTTGGAGCCGTCAATCAGCAGAACAAGGTCCACGTGACCTTCCCGGCACCCTGCACCGCCAGAAGAACTTGAATTGAGGGACCAGATTCTTGACTGGCAGCAGCTGTCTATCCATCTAGTCATTCATTTGCAAACATTTGTTACATAACAGACAAAATTTCCTGAGTCTTTGCTGTGCCGGGCAGTGTAGTAATTATCGCCATCATCACAACCACCACCACCACCATCATCATCATTGCCCTTGACATTTATTCAGTGCTTAGAACAAACCAGACACTGCTAAAAGCATCTTTTTAACAACAATCATAATAATGACCACGATAACTACCATTTATTGATCATCTACTATGTATCAGGCACACTTCTAACACTGTACCAATATTAACAATAATAATAACAAAAACATTATTCACCGACAGCTTACCATATGGCAGGTACTGGGTGACGGGCTTATACATATTCTCAATCCTCCCAATAAGCTTGAGTATTGTCCCCATTTTCTATAACCTGAGGTTCTGATGGATAAAATGATTGCCCCAGATTTCACAGTTAGTACTGAGCGAAGACATGAAGCCAGGCCCGTCTGACTCCAAAACCCATGTTCCTGAATCACTCTACAATGCTGCCTTCCCTATTCTGAGCCAGGGAATTTGCTAGGACCAAAGAGGGCTCAACAAGAATTAAAACATAATCCTGATCGATGAAGACAGGACAGAGCAGGTCAGACATGGCACATGCTCTGGTCAAGGAAAGTGCTAGAAGAGAAGAGCATGTGGCCAGGCACAGTGGCTCATGCCTGTAATCCCAGCACTTTGGGAGGCTGAGGGAAGTGGATCACCTAAGGTCGGGAGTTGGAGACCAGCCTGACCAATATGAAGAAACCCCATCTCTACTAAATATACAAAATTAGTTAGGAGTGGTGGTGCATGCCTGTAATCCCAGCTACTTCGGAGGCTGAGGCAAGAGAATCTCTTGAACCTGGGAGGCAGAGGTTGCAGTGAGCCCAGATTGCGCCATTGCACTCCAGCCTGGGCAACAAGGGTGAAACTACGTCTCAAAAAAAAGAGAGAGAGAGAGAGAGAAGAGCATGCAGCAAGAAGATTGGTGTGTGTGTGTGTGTGTGTGTGTGTGTGCAGCATGGGGAGGTGTTGATAGTTGTGTCATCTAAGAATCAGAAAGCAGGCTCTCATTAGACACATATCTGCTAGCACCTTGGTCTTGGACTCCCCAGCCTCCAGAACTGTGAAAAATAAATGTTGTTTAAGCCACCCAGTCTATGGTACTTTGGTATAGCAGCCTGAATAAACTAAGACAGTCTTGAAAGATAGTAGGAGTTTGCCAAGGCAGTCAGGGACAGTCTAGAAGATGGGATGTAGCAAGTACAGAGGCATGCAGAGCTCCAGACACACTCAGGGAGGGGCAGGTCAGTAAGACTGAAATGTTCAAGTGTGGCAGGAGACGGGCTGATGGAGTTGGCTGAAGCTAAGGCAGCAGTTCCAAAATTTTTATCACAGCCCACAGCAAAAACAATAATAAGGAGAATACATATAGAACTAAAGTTTCAAGAATAATATAACTATTTCTACAGGCAGTAAACTCTATGTTGTCTTCCATTCTTTATTTTTTTTTTTTAATGTTGGTTGTAACCCAGTAAATTGATTTCATTATCCATTAATGTGGTTTTGCTCACCATTTGAAACATTTAGGGCAAAGTCATTTGATCTTTCTTCTGTAGGCATTGGTGAGCCACAGAAGGCTTATGTGCAAAGGAGGAGTGCGATCAAATATATATTTTTTAAATTAACATTGGCAGCCGAGTAGAGGGTTGAGGGGAAAGAGATGGAGGCAGGGAATGGTATCCCCTCCAATGTCACCCCCACACTACACACACACATTCATACCACAGCCTAGGGGCCACAGCAAGGGCAAAGTCAAGGACACTCAGAATGTGGGCAATGGGGCAGAAGCAGACAGAACACCCTCCCACCCATCACTCACTGCTGCAGCTCTTGCCATCTGCCTGAAGTTGCCGCCCCTCAGGGCACAGGCAGCGGAAGGAGAGGCCCTTGCTCACACATTGGAACTCACAGCCATGGTCCACGCCATTGCAAAGGTCCCGGACTTAAAGGAGAGACAGGGAAGGATGAGTCAGGATGAATCCCACAAGCTAAGATCTCTTATCCCTCCCACAAATGTAGGAAAGCCCTCCTTACCCTGACAGCTCCTCCCATCGGGCTGCAAGTCGTGGCCCTCCCTGCAGTGGCACCGTGGTCCACCAAGGGTGCTAACACACTCATGCTGACAGCTATGGTTCCCAAAGCTGCAGTAGTCAATGGCTGGCCGGAGGGAAGAAACAGCAAGGTGTCACCTCTGACTGGAGCCCTCGGAGGCCACAGTCCTGGGTGTGGCAGGAGGGCGGGGTTGTTGCTCACCCCTGCAGCTCCTCTGGTCTTGCTGGAGGACAAAGCCAACTTGGCAGCGACAGAAATAGGAGCCCGGGGAATTGACGCAGTGGTGCTCACATCCATGGGTCCCTTCAGCACACAGATCAATGGCTGGGGAAGAGATGAGGTCAGTCCATGCCCAGGGCTGCCCTTCTCAGCTCTGGTAGCACAACTGCCTGAAGAAATTTCTTTTCTTTTTTAATCAAAATCAGGTGGAATAAGAAATTTTTAAGAACACCTATGCCTGGGCTGCAACCCCAACAATCCTGACCTACTTAGTCAGGGCCTGTCCTGTCCTCAAGATGCTCTCTGACTTACAGAGAACAGATTTGGCCACTTTACCTGTCTGAGCCTCCATTTTACTATTTGCAAAATGGGAATATAATGGAAGAGAGTGATTGCTATTTACAGCTTCCTTCTGTGGAAGATGGGAACTATTGCCCTCCTGTTGAGCATCTTGATGGTCTGGATATGCAAAGATGGCCAAGAGTTGGACTGAAGAGAGGATAATTACCCTGTATAAAAAAGTGAGAATTGGCAGGGCAGCGTGGCTTATGCCTGTAATCTCAGCACTTTGGGAAGCCAAGATGGGCAGATCACTTGAGGTCAGGAGTTCAAGACCAGCCTGGCCAACATGGCAAAACCCCATCTCTACTAAAAATACAAAACTTAGCTAGGCATAGTGGTGGGTGCCTGTAATCACAGCTACTAGGGAGGCTGAGGCTCAAGAATTGCTTGAACCCAGGAGGCAGAGGTTGCAGTGAGCCAAGATCGCAGCATTGCACTCAACCTGGGCAACAGAGCGAGACTCTGTCTCAAACAAAACAAAAAGACAGAAACAAGTTTGGGAGGTGGTTTGGAGCCAGATAGGAGACTAGCCTGAAAACAGGGAGAAAGAGGAGCAGAAAGCATGCTGAACTGTGGGCTCCCACCAGGGACTTGTGTGACCCCGGGCAATACCTTTCTTTCTTAGGCCTGTAAAGTGATAGAGGTGTGCTTTTACTGCCAAAGGCCCTTCCAAACTCATTGGTCTGATGTTGGGGCAATGGGGAGCCAAAGAAGGTTCAGGGGCAGTGAGATTGCAGGGCAGGGGTAGCTCTCACCCAGACAGCTCTTGTTATCTGCTGCTAGCTTGTAGCCCTGGTAGCAGGCGCAGTGGAACGTGCCCGGGGCGTTGACACACTGGTGCTGACAGCCATGTCTCCCTTCAGCACACCAGTCCTTCCCTGAGTACACACAGGACTAGACTCAGTAGTGAACAGATAGGCAGAAGCCTCCAACAAGAGAGAGCTGGGTGGGGATAGGATCAGAGGCAGGCATCACCCTCAAATGGCTTTCAGAGGGAAATAACTCATCTGAGAGGGGTGTACCAGGTAGGAGGGCTTAGGGAAAGAATAAGTCTTGAGGCCTGCGAGTAGGCTCAGAAGAGGGGGCACCCAGTTAGACTTGTCAGTGGGATAGAACAGGACTCCACAGGGGCAGGAGTGGGTAGGGAGGTGGAGAGGTGCTAAATCAAGGTGGGCGGAATAAACTCAAAACGTGGCTAGAACAGATCTTGCAGCATTTGTGGGAGGAGCTAAGATGATAATGGGAGGAGCCATCCCCATGAGGGAAGGCCGTGACCCTTTGGAGCAGCCGATCGCTGTCAGCTTTGAGAATCACTGGTTCCTTGTGTACAGCGGTTTGATGTTGGAGTTTGACATTAAGCCTGTGGTAAGCTGTGGCGGGCAGGGCAAGAAACTGTAGGTTGCTCCTTGTTGATGGATCCTGAGCAGAAGTGGTCACAGCTGAAAACTGAAACAGTCTGCGGTAGGTCCGAGCAACTCTACCTGGAAAGCGCGGGGCCACCCCGAGGGATGGGATTTACTGTGGTGGGAAAGGAATTCAAGCATTTGGATTGAGAGTTGGAGCCTTGCTCCAGCACTCTCCTAACTCACCACACAGCCGGCCCTGGAACTGTAGGCCGAACTCCTGGATGAGGTCGAAGGACTCTACGAGGAAGACGTGCTCGTCCAGCGGGGGCGATGCCATGGCGCGCAAGGAGCCCACGTCCGCGCGCTGCACCCCCACCGCGTAAATTTCAATGCCACGGGCGCGCGCCTGAGCCGCCACCTCGGCCACGCGGTCCTGAGGCCGCCCGTCCGTTACGATGACAGCGACGCGCGGCACACGCTCCTCCGGCGGGCGCGCACCCTCGGCCACGCTGAAGGCCACGTTCATGGCGTACTGGATTGCCAGTCCTGTCATGGTGCCTTGCGCCAGCGGCACCAGGTCGCGGATGGCTCGCTCCATGTCCTCGCTGCGCGAGAAGGCGCCGAGAGGGAAGACACTCTGCACTTGACTCGAGTACTGGATAACACCAACGCGCGTGGCGTTGGGACCCACGTTCAGGCCGCGGACAAGGCCCACGAGGAACTGCCGCATGGTCTCGAACTCGAAAGGGCGCACGCTGCGGGAGCTGTCAATCACGAACACCAGATCCAGGGGCCCAGTGTGACACCTGGGACCTGCTGGGAGATCAGGGAAGATTCTCCTAGGTCAGCAAAACCTCACCTCCGAGGAGATTCCCCCAGGGAAACTCAAGGAGAAATGCCGCAATTCCGGCCTAACAGCGCCCAGCACAGCAAAGGCAGATTAGATAGATGCACTCACCCGGCATGTGCCTGGCACCTGGCCTAGGAGATTGCACAAATTCCCTCATCTCACAGCCCTGAGGGCTATTCCGAGAAGGTATTACCCATTGATGAGGGGGGCAAGGAAGCGTCACAAACTCAAAGCCTGCAGGGATCAGGCAGGCAACATGGATGAATTGGTTGGGTTAGGACGGCGGATCCAAACAGTCTGAGTCACTCTTAAATTGGGCAGGCAGCTCCAACCAAATGCCGCCATGCACCTGCAAATTGGATGTTAGCAGATCCCTGGCTTTTTCAAGAGAAGTACCAAACAGGGATTTTTATGTAAAATTTCCTGGGTTTTCCATGTTTTCGAATAATTTTTCCAAATTAAACATCCCATGGGCAGGTCTGCATGTGCCCCAAACTAAGCTACATTCTACAGATGAAGAAACTGAGGCCCAGAGAGGTGACGAGGGGAACTTAAACCCAGTCACTTATGTTCCAAAGCCCTTGCTTCCCTCTCCCCAGCAGGAGGAGCTGGCTGCAGAGGGAGGACCTGACTCGGCTCCCCTCCTTCCGCTGGTGAGGGCTGGGCCCCAGCTCACCTGCAGACTGGAGCTGGGTTTCCCAGGGCTGAAGAAGGAGCAGCAACACAGGCCAGCAAAGGCCTCTCATGGTGCTTAGGAACAGAGAATGGAAGTGTCAAAGCCTGGATGGAGGAAGGAAAATAGAAAAGCAACAGTATTTACAGATCTCTTATTCTGGGTGATAGGGACTTGGAGAGGAAGAGAGTTGTGGGTTTATTTAATTACTAATTTCTCTATTTTTGTGTATTTTTGAAATGATTCAGAATTTAAAATTTTTTTTATCACAGTGGGATTACTGGGAAACACAAGGTTTTTTTGTTTGTTTGTTTTTTGTTTTAATGGAGTCTTGCTCTATCGCCCAGTCTGGAATGCAGTGGCATGATCTCTGCTCACTGCAACCTCTGCCTCCAAGGTTCAAGCAATTCTCCTGCCTCAGCCTCCGGAGTAGCTGGGACTGCATGCTTCTGTCACCATGCCCAGCTAATTTTTGTACTTTTAGTAGAAACAGGTTTTGCCATGTTGGCCAGGCTGGTCTCAAACTCCCGACCTGAGGTGATCCTCCCACCTCAGCATAAGCCACCGCACTTAGCGCACAAGAGCTTCTTTGTGAAACTGCAGAACAGTAAATAAGAATAGATACATAGACACAAATATACAAAATTTAAACAGGAAAAAAAAAGGCCTTTCTTAAATGTCAGGCACAGTGTTAAATGCTCTTCTCGCTTTGTGGTATTCAATCCTCTCTGCAATTGTAAGACTAAGGCTGTGATTGTCCCCATCATATAGATGAGGAAACTGAGGCTCAGAAAAGTTAATTGCTGTTGCCTACAGTCATTCGGCCAGAAAGTGGCTGCAGCAGGAGAATCCCACGCCTGCTGGTTTCTGTGAGCCAGCCCGCGCATTGGGTGCCTCTCCTGCCAGGCGAATCTCTGCAGACAGAAGCCCTTCCCCACCTCGGCCCACTCCCTTACGCACACAAGAAGCTTCTGTGTGGCTGACTTCGCAACTCGCCAACTCCCCTATAGCCCTCCACACACACAAAGAGATAGATACGCACTGCCCAGCCGTAGGCGGCGGGGAGGGCTGAGCGTGGTGGCGCGGCAGCCAGCGGAACAAAACCCACCGCGCAGGAGAACGCGCGGCTTGGCGCCTGTTTCCCGTCTGCTCTCAGGAGCGACCGCCAGGGGGCGCCCGAGATGGCAGGGGGCGTGGGAAGCCCACATCTGCCCAGCAGGTGCGCCCACCCCGAGCAAACAGCGGGCCGGGGCCCAGGGCCTTGGAGATAAGACCTGGACAGGATATATCCCGCACAAGAACTGGGGAGCAGGAGTGTGCAGGGTTCCAGCGACAGCAGCACTGGACTCGCCCAGAGGGCGGGTGAGCGGCTGGGGCCCGGTGGAGCCGCCATGGACCCTGCAGGGGCAGCAGGTGAGCTCACCCTCCCGCAGCCCCGGAGACGCCCCTTGAGAACTACGAAGGACCCCCCACTGTACAGATAGGAAAACTAAGGCCCAAGAAGGCAGCCCACCGAGCTGCAAAAACAGGATTAGAACCTAGGGTTCCTGGTTCCCCTTCTTCTTTTTGAGGCCCCCGGCGCCTAGAAGTCACTAAACCGCTTTTCCTTCCAGTTTCCACCCTACCCTGGCGCCCCATGCTGAAGCTGTGTTAGCCATTTTTCTGTTGCTGTTTCTTGGCAGAGAGGGCCAGCCGCCCCTAACCCAACCGCAGCCCCGCCCCCACCCCCAATTCTGTGAATGCGCCTATTCTGAGCGAGGCCTGTGCCTGCTTCTCACTCCAGGCGGCCTTCTTGTCCGGATTCTTCTCCCCTTTCCCCTCCCAGGCCTGGTAGAACAGAAATCCCTTTGGCAGAGGCGGTCGTGGGAGGGTGACTAAGCTGGATGTGGCAGCGTTGGTGGAGGTGGGAGGGCAGGGAACCCTTCCCTAACTTGGGCCACGGCAAGGCCACCATCCCTAGGCAGCATGAGGGTTAAGGCATGAGGGGCCTTTGCCACCCGCCATCCTTTCCCACTCAGAGACACCTCTGGGTCCCCAAATCTTGGTTAAGGTTCCCCTCATCCTGTTCCTGGTCTGAGCCAACATCTCACCTGGCACCCTGCCTCCACCCCGGGAATCCTAGAAAGTCAAAATAGCGACTGCCCAAAGTTCATCACCTTTCCAAGCCCCTCATTCTACAAAGAAAGAAACTAGGTCCAGAGAGGGTGGTGTCTTGCTGAAGGGCACACAGCGATGTCATGGCAGGGTTGACACTGGAACCCAGGATTCCTCTGCAGAGCTCATCCTTGTGTTAAAAGAAAGATTCAGAGATGCCCTGAGGTGGGATTGAGTGAGAGAACCAGGAATGGATGAGAGGCCTGTAAATCATTTCTCAAATGTCCCTTAGGGACATTTCAGGGGGTTCCTGGAGAGATGGATGAGAGTAGAAAATGGATGACCCTATTTTGATGGCCTTGCTGGTTGGGGCTTGATTTCAAAAGGACCCTGCAGAAGTGGGGAAGGGTACTGCATGTCAGACAGGGCACCATAGGCCATGCCTCTGCTAAAATGCAGTCGCCTGATCTGGCTTGACACCTACTCCCCGGCAGACCCCGCAGTGCCTCCCAACCCTTTGACTCACCTGAGTCTGCGGGACAGATCAGAGATGCAGCTGCAGAGCGAAGCCGACAGGCGGAGCCACCCGGGCACTTGGACCAGGTAATGGCGTGGCAGCCTGCCCTAGGTGGGGACTGCCAGGCAGCTGGAGCACGCAGAGGCGGCGGCCGCATTTAACCCAGGGCTGGCGGGTGGGGAGGGGAAGCGCAGGCTGCAACCCCTCCCACTGGCAGGGAGGGATTCCTCCCTTCCTCCTGAGGGGGGGCAAACTCAGCACCCCCTGCTCCTACCACTCTTGGAGCTGCAGAGGGGGCTAGCTGCGGGCCAGGCTGGAATTCCGCTACAGCGGGAGACAGGAGACTGGGGCAGCCACACTCCGTAGCCGGAATGCGTTGGAAGCTTAGGAGGCACTTCCTCGAGGAGAGCCCCAAGGGGTGGAGCGGTCCTGGCTGTGGTTGCTGACTGCCTGGCCTGGCTTTGAAGGGTGCGGTCCTACACTGTCCCCTCCAGGAGTGAGGAGAGACTGGGTCCTGCCAAGAGGATAAAGGGCTCAGAAGGACAGCCTCAGTGTCCGCGTCTCTCCTTGGGCCTCAACCTGCTAACCCCCCACATCTCTCCCCACCGCCACTCCTCTACTCGCCCCCTGCAATTGCTGTGGCACACCCACCCACGCCGATCCAGACCCCCAGGCTGGGAAGCCACCAGGCCTCTAGGCTGTAACCTGGCTCACTCCGCAGGACCCATGTTCTCTGTCTTGACTCCTGTAATCAAGGGAAGGAAAGCCCACACAGCGACAGGCCACTTCTCATGGGAGAAAGGGAGGAATATGGCTTTGGCCCCAGAAAGGCTCAGATTCCCCCATGCCACCCCACATCCTGGGGATGAGGTTTTGGGCCCCTTCCTATTTGCAGGCAGGAGGCTAGAGAGCACTCCCAGGCCAGGAGCCCAGCAAAGGCTCCCCCTTCCCCCCACCCCTCACCCCCACATCCTGCTTCCCTAGGGTGGGGAAGCTTCATCTCTACCAATGCCATCAACCCTAAAATACTCTTCTCCATCCCACGGCCAGTATAAGTGTGGGCTTTGTGTCATAGCCACGTGTCCCCATGGCCCTGGGCTCCAATGGGCAAGACCCCAGACCTGCAGAGTGGAGCCTGGGTGGTCCCCTGTGCTCTGTTCAGGCCTCATTGAGCACCTCACAGCCTAAATATTTAGCCTACAGTTTGCAGCCTAGTCTCCTCCTTACCTAACGCTCTCTTTTCCTGACCCCATGGGGGCAGAGTGTAGAGAAGCCCCACCCTTCCCCACTCACTCTAACCGCCTGCCCGCTTCATTTTGCTCAACCTGAGTGACTGGACCCTGTGCCACCCTGACCCTTGGCTGTCCCTCCTGCAGCCTGTCGACCTGCCTGCCCCCTCCCCCCACCCTGCAGGTCATCCCCAGAGCACGCCACCATTCTGCGGGGAGGCGTGCGCAGGTGCCTGCAGCAACAGTGCGAACAGACTGTGCGGATCCTGCACGCCAAGGTGGCCCAGAAATCCTATGGAAATGAGAAGCGGTAGGTGCCTCGGTGGCCCCTCTCAGGTCTCTGCAGCTGTCGGCCCTATGCACCCCTGCATCCACCCACTGGGGCCTCCTTTGGACCCAGAGGAGGCCTCAGGACTGAGATCTCAGCTATTGGTCAACCAAGGGCATTGTCCCTCAGCCACCATTAGCCCCCACTTTGGTCTATAGTCCCACACCAGGAGATTCCCTGTGAATCTGCTGTCTCCATTCGTTCACTCATTCTCCCATTTATTCACTTATTCGTTCATTCAACAACTACTTACTGAATGTTTTTCATGTATGCACCAGGCTCTATGGGCACTGCTGGGCACTGCTGGACACTGAGCATGCAGCTGAACAAGACAGAGAGAGCCCCTGCTCTGTAGTCCACACTCTCACTCAAGTGTGGAAGAGACAGACAGTAAACTCCCCACAAATCAGTAAACAAGATACTTGCAGATTATGATGTGCACTAGAAGGAAAACTGAACAAGGCCATTTGACGGAAACTGAAGGCAGAGGGTACATTAGCTAGAAAGGCCAAGGAGGTCGAGAGACATTTTGGGAGGTAACATCAGAACTGAAACGTGAATGTTAAAATGGAACCAGACTGGAGAAAATCCGGGGAAAGCATGCTGCAATGAGAAAAAACAGAAGGGCGGGGCGCAGCGAATCACGCCTGTAATCCCAGCACTTTGGGAAGCAGAGGCGTCAGATCACCTGAAGTCAGGAGTTCGAGACCAGCCTGGTCAGCATGGTGAAACTCCCTCTCTACCACAAATACAAAATTAGCCGGGCGTGGTGGTGGGTGCCTGTAATCCCAGCTACTCGGAAGGCCGAGGCAGGAGAATCGCTTGAATCCGGGAGGCGGAGATTGCAGTGAGCCGAGATCGCGCCATTGCACTCCAGCCTGGGCAACAAGAGCAAAACTCCGGGAAAAAATAAAATAAAATAAAATAAAATAAAATAAAATAAAATAAAATAATAAGGTTTGGATATGAATGGGGTTTACAGTCATGAAAAAGCGTGGGGTAGAGCAGGAGGAGGAAACGAAGGTTCTGCTGGGTTTACGCTACTACCTGCCGTGCTCACAGGAGAGCCAAGTGAACATGTATGCACGAATCCAACGCTCACTTATCTCCGCAGGTTCTTCTGCCCCCCGCCCTGTGTCTACCTCTCGGGGCCCGGCTGGAGGGTGAAGCCGGGGCAGGACCAAGGTGAGGGCGAACTCAAGGGCTGCCGGCCGCCTGCTCGGTCGGGAGGATCCCAAGGTTGGGCCCGGGAGAGGGGCGGTTCGCAGGCACTGTCTCCCCGCGCCCTCTGGTGGCGAGCGCTAAGCTTGCCTGGCACCTGCGTCCTTCCCGGGTCCTTCCAGAGCCAGTTCGCGTCCCTTTCCAGCTCACCAGGCGGGAGAGACCGGGCCGACGGTCTGTGGTTACATGGGACTGGACAGCGCGTCCGGCAGCGCCGCGGAGACGCAGAAGCTGAATTTCGAGCAGCAGCCGGACTCCAGAGTGAGAGCGCACGGGAAGGGGTCCGATTCCTTCTCCCATCCTTGCCTCTCCTGGGAAAGGAGGGCTCCTTTACTCCCCCCCCAAAGCCAAGAGATCGGTGGGGAGACCGGGAGGCCGGGGTCCCGCGTTAAGGCCGAGCCTGAGAGCGTGGGTGGTGGAGCGTCTGGTCACCTCCGACGGGGCGGACGTCCGATATCTGGAAGAGGCTGTTTTCATCCGACGGCGGAGGGCTGGGATGACACGACCCTGTCCCCGCGAGCCCCTTAGGAATTCGGCTGCGCCAAGACCCTGTACGTCTCAGATGCAGACAAGAGGAAGCACTTTCGGCTGGTTCTGAGGCTGGTGCTGCGCGGGGGCCTGGAGCTGGGCACCTTCCACAGCCGCCTCATCAAGGTCATCTCCAAGCCCTCGCAGAAGAAGCAGTCGCTGAAAAACACCGACCGTGAGCAGGGCGGGGCCTGACCGCGGGCCTGGGCGGGGTGGTGCAACCAAGCCCCGAGAGGCTAAATTGGGGCGCGGAGGTGGGGGTAGGCTGGGCTGTAGGGGTGGGGTCAGAGTGGAAAAGGTGGAGCCGGAGCTGAGAGAGGAAGGGGTCTGGATGTTTATGGCCCAGGCCTGGGGACGAGAAGAGCGGGAGGATGAAAAGCAGAGAGGAAAGGGACGGACACCAAACTCCCGGGTGGGAGTTGGGGTCCCAAAGCAGACAAAAGTTGAACTAGGCAGGAGCTGAGCTAGGCAGGCAGGGATTGAACAAGGGACAGACTAAAAGTTACATAGGCGGGGCACGGTGGCTCATGCTTGTAACCCTAACACTTTAGGAGGCCGAGCTTGGGGGAATCACTTGAGCCTAGGAGTTCAAGACCAGCCTGGGCAACATGGTGAAACCTCGTTTTTTATAAGAAAGAAGGAAAGAGGGAGGGAGGGAGGGAAGGAAAGAAGGGAGGGAAGGAGGGAGGGAGGGAGGGAGGGAGGGAGGGAGGGAGGGAGGAAGGAAGGAAGGAAGGAAGGAAGGAAGGAAGGAAGGAAAAGAAACAGCTGGGCATGATGACCTACGCCTGCAGTCCCAGCTAGGTGGAGAGCTGAGATCAGAGGATTGCTTGAGCCCAGGAGGTCGAGGCTACAGTGAGCTGTGATAGCACCACTGCAGTCCAGCCTGGGCGAGAGGGTGAGGTGCTGTCTCAAAAAGAAAAGGGTGTTTTAATTTTGTTTCTTGAACTGAAAGATATCCAGGCAGCGAAAGGAGCAGACAAATGTTCTGAAGCAGGACTGTCGCCGGTACTACAGTCTTCATGCTTTGGGGCCTTACTCTCCAGCCCGGCCCCTGTGTGCCACATTCTCTGCATGGATCTCAGGAGACTCCTCCAGGCGTGAACTGTGAACTGTGAATGCCCAGTGTGTCTAGGCCGTGGGCATATTAGCCAGGCTGGCACAGGAGACAGAGAATTGGAAATTAATCTGGAAAGTCCAAGGGACCAAGTCAGGCCAGGGCAATGCACTGGCTGCACCCCTAACCCTAACCCTAACGCTGACCCTAACCCTGACCCTAACCCTGACCCTAACCCTAACCCTGACCCTCACCCTTGCCCTCACAGTGTGCATATCCTCCGGCTCAAAGGTCTCCCTCTTCAACCGCCTGCGATCCCAGACGGTCTCTACACGCTACCTCTCTGTGCAGGATGGGGCCTTTGTGGCCAGTGCGCGACAGTGGGCTGCCTTCACGCTCCACCTGGGTAATGACATCTGCAGCCCCTGGGGCTGGGCGCTTCCCATGCACTAGCTTATTAACCTTCACCATGACTCCTTAAGGAAGGTCAACTCTGCCCCATGTGATTAAGGCTCAGAAACACAAAAAGACTTGTCCACAGTCCCCATGAGCTGGTGACTGATACAAGCTATTCTGACTCCATTATCCATGCCCTTTCCCCTCATATCAACTAAGCTGCCTGCCCCTACCTCTGTCCCCAGGGTGGACATTTGTGAGGATGGCCTCAAATGACCCCTCCAGAATTAGACCCTTCAGTCTTAGCTGCTCCCCTGAGTACCACCCCTTCCCGCAAGGCTCATGTGTGATGTGAGGAAGAGCCAGAGACAAGAAGACAGAGTTTAAAGCAGAAGCTTCGGGGCCCCTGAAAACCTTGCCCCTTCCTTTGTTTGACCCCCAGCTGATGGGCACTCTTCCCCAGGAGACTTCCCACCGCGAGAGGGCTACGTTCGCTACGGCTCCCTGGTGCAGCTCGTCTGCACAGTCACCGGGATCACATTACCCCCCATGGTACAGGAAGGGAGGGCATGCCTGGACGGGTCCCCTGAGATCCATGCAGAGAATGTGGCACACGTGGGCTGGGCTGGAGAGTGAGGCCCCAAAGCATGAAGACACCTGTTCTCACTCAGCCTTTTGTGGGACCAGACAGAAGTCATAGGGCAGGGAGAATCCACTAGTGCCCGTGTGGCTATTGGAGTAGCAGAGAGCTGGCTGGGAGGGCAGCCTCTGGACGCCTGGGCAGCTTGCCATCACTCTTCCTACCACCCTTCCACTGCAGATCATCCGTAAAGTAGCCAAGCAGTGTGCACTCTTAGATGTGGATGAGCCCATCTCCCAGCTGCACAAGTGTGCATTCCAGTTTCCAGGCAGTCCCCCAGGAGGGGGAGGTACCTACTTATGCCTTGCCACAGAGAAGGTGGTACAATTTCAGGTAAGAAGCAGAGAATACCAGCACCAAGTGTCCTGGAAAGTGAGAATACAGAGAACCACAGAATGTAAGGTCATCATCATGGTCATGATTGCTACTTCCTGAGCAGTACTGCCTCCTATGGAACATTGAAATCATAGACTCCCAGGACAGAATCATAGGATGTAGAAAAATAGTAGTAAGTCATAGTGTGAAGCAATATTCCTTCCTAAAGAATTTTAGAGTCATATAATATTGGGACTCTAGCCAAGTGTGGTTGGCTCACGCCTGTAATCTCAGCACTTTGGAAGGCTGAGGTGGGCGGATCACCTGAGGTCAGGAGTTCAAGATTAGACTGCCCAACATGGTGAAACCCTGTCTCTACTAAAAGTACCAAAATTAGCTGGGCGTGGTTGCAGGTGCCTGTAATCTCAGCTACTCAGGAGGCTGAGGCAGGAGAATGGCTTGAACCTGGGAGGCGGAGGTTGCAGTGAGCCGAGATCACTCCATTGCACTTCATCTGCGGCAATAAGAGTGAGACTGCATCTCTCTCTCTCTCTATATATATATATATATATATGTAGATAGATAGATAGATATAAAATTGTAGAATGTAAATAAAAATCATAGGTAATAGCAGAGAATTATTGAGCAAAGACTATTCAAAGCATAGATAAAAGACACAGAATGTAGGGAATTATAGAATGTGGAAAATAATAATTATCATTAAGCAGTATTACTCCCAAAAGAATATTATCATAGAATGTTAGGAGATAGAATAATATGTGAAAAATAGCTAGTATTATTCCTTCCCAAAGAATATTCCTTCCCAAAGGAACAATATTCCTTCCCAAAGAATATTAAAATTGTAGATTATTAGAGCATAGAATTGCGCAATGTTAAAAAAAATTTAAAAAGCCACACAGAATTCTAGGATCCCAAGAAAAAAGATCCTTAGAAATCAGCTAGCCCAAGCTGGGCTTAATGGCTCATGCCTGTAGTCCCAACACTTTAGGAGGCTGAGGCAGGAGGATCACTTGAGGTCAGCAGTTTGAGACCAGCCTGGTCAACATGACAAGACCCCATCTCTACTAAAAATACGAAAATTAGCTGGGTGTCATGGCACACACCTGTAATCCCAGCTACTCAGAAGACTGAGGCAGGAGAATCACATGAACCCAAAAGGCAGAGAGTGCAGCAAGCTGAGATTGTGCCAATGTACTCCAGCCTGGGAGACAGAGAGAAAGAGACAGAGAGAGAGAGGAAGGAAGGAGGGAAGGAGAGAGGGAGGGAAGGAGGGGAAAGAAGGAGGAAGGAAGGAAGGAAGGAAAGAGGGAAAGGAGGGAAGGAACAAGGGAGGGAGGGAGGGAGGAAAAGAGAAAAAAGAAATAAAGAGAGAAGGAAGAAAGGAAGGAAGGAGAGAGGGAGGGAGGAAGGGAGGAGGGCTGGGAGAGAGGGAAAGAAAGAAGGAAAGAAGGAAGGAAGGGAAGGAGGGAGGGGAAAGAAATCAGCTAGCCCAACGAGCTTACTTAACTCTGAGAGAACTTAAGGGCACTGTCCAAGCTGAAGGGACAAGTAAACGCCAGAGCCTGGGATTGGTATCCAGTTGGCCTAATGCAGAAGCCGACGCGCCATGCTGGCTCCCCACGCTGGTGGCCACCATGAGAAGCTTCTGCCTGGTCCCCTCGGGTCTCCTCCCAGGCCTCTCCCTGCCCCAAGGAGGCGAACAGGGCTCTGCTGAACGACAGCTCTTGCTGGACCATCATCGGCACCGAGGCGGTGGAATTCTCCTTCAGCACCAGCCTGGCGTGTACGCGGGAGCCGGTCACTCCGGTGCCCCTCATCAGCACCCTCGAGGTGAAGCTGCGCTAGGGGCGTTGGGCGGGGGGGTACCTTCCTGCGCTGGGTGCCAGTGGGAGGAGGGCAGCAGGTTCCCGCCCTGCTCCGTTCTTTCACCTCACCTGGTCCCACCCTCCCCCAGCTGAGCGGCGGGGGCGACGTGGCCACGCTGGAGCTCCACGGAGACAACTTCCACGCGGGGCTCAAGGTGTGGTTTGGGGACGTGGAAGCAGAAACCATGTACAGGTACGGAGTGGGGAGGCAGCAACCTTGGACCCCCGGGAGCGTTGGCGGGGTGCGGCGCACGCGTCAGCCGAGTCGCCGCAGCCCTCACCCTGGTGCCCCACCCCTAGGAGCCCGCGGTCCCTGGTGTGCGTGGTGCCGGACGTGGCGGCCTTCGGTAGCGATTGGCGCTGGCTGCGCGCTCCCATCACAGTGCCCGTGAGCCTGGTGCGCGCCGACGGGCTCTTCTACCCTAGTGCCTTCTCCTTCACCTACACCCCGGAATACAGCGCGCGGCCGGGTCCCCCCGGCACCCCCGAGCCCGCCACCGGCGCCGACGCGCTCCTGGAGAGCATCCACCAGGAGTTCACGCGCACCAACTTCCACCTCTTCATTCAGACTTAGGCGCGCCCAGGCGCCCTGGCTTCCCATCGCGGAGGGCTGCGCCCACGCCAGGCGCAGGGATGTGCTTCTGGGTCCTAGGCCCTGCTTCCTTACCCCTTTGCTGCAGAAGGGCAGCTGAAGGCTCACCCTAGAAACTGCGCCTGGTGGCTCTTACCCGGGTCACTCCCTCGTCCTTACACATTCAGGAAGACACAACCTGAGTGGCACGGTCTTGGTATCCATCGTGTGTGGCTCTTCCTGTCTTCATCCCTTCGCGCTCTATCTCTAAACCTCTCTCTCTCCCTTGCCCCATAGTAACTTCATCTATAGATCTATTTGTGTGGTCCTGTCACTCTGTCCTTTTCTCTCTCCAGCTCCCTCTCTGATCATGTGACACATGTGCTCCCACTGTGCCTTCTGTCATGAGAAGAAGTGTCCTGAGGCCTCACCAGAAGCAGACGCTATACCTTACACACAATTTCACATGCCCGGAGAAGCCAAGTCTGGAACATTTACCCTCCAAGCATCTGTGTCCGCTCTTGAAAAGAAAACACACAGCTTCACACACTCAGGCATGGGGTGCAAGCTCTTGGGACGCCAGGACCCTGGAGCATCAGGTTCTGCCTGGAATATTAGATCCCCCTGGAGCACCGGGTCTCTCTGAGCACTGCGTCTCACCTGGGGCACCAGTTCCCACCTAGAGCACTGTGCCCTGCCCTGGAGCACAAAGACCTGCTCCTCCCTAGACTCTCTCTGACTGTAGCCAGGCATAGCACTCTTCCCTGTGTTTGCTCCCTGGCCTACAGCTTTGGTGGCTGGGCAAGTGCTTGGGACAGTGAGGAGGTTTTGTCGCTTTGACTGTCCCCTAGTCACTTCTTTCACAGACCCAGCTGTCCTGAAGATCAGGGGTTAAAATCAACCCCTATCCAAGGCAGAGTTCGGTCTGTATGAGTCACCTCCCCAAGTGTGCCTCCCGCCATCCTCACACCCACATACCAAAAAGAGGACCCGCACAGAAAACAAAGAACCACAAGTCTGATGGAGCAGAGAGGCTGCCTTTTTTACCTTTTCTGGAGGAGGAACTGGGTTCAGAGGCAGCTGGCATCCTGAGTTCTTGTCCCTGTCCTGGGGATGTTACCCTACTATTTCTCCATCCCAAGCAAGGATGCAGCCCAGGCCCAGAGGCGACCACAGGACCCTTCAAAACCAAGTTTTCCCAGGATAGCCCTGGACAGAACTCCTGGGATTGACTAGGCAGTAATGTAGCTGAGAGAGGGGCCTCTCAGCATGGGGCTGATGGACAGAATCACAATCTATTCCTCACCAGCCTACCCACCGTCTACCTAGTCCATGCTTTATAGGGAAGAAGAAGAAAAAAAGGCAGAACACTGGCTTGGGCTATTGGAATCAAGGACACAGATAGGTATCACGGGTGCCAGCCACCTGTACCAGCCTCTGGTGGTGCCTGATGGGAAAACTGGTCTGAAAGGTGGGTTCCAGGTTCTAACCCTCTGGAGAAGAGCTTGACCTCCTAAGGAAGAGTTCATTTCCTGTAAAACTCCTCCCCCAGAATATGGAAAGTCCCATGAGAAAGAAGAAACTAACAATACCCAGAGAAGAGGAAATGCGGTATACTCTTTAGGCTTCCCAAACTCTTGATTAAGTCCTGTCATCTGCCATCATCATCAGGCTGCAATCCACTGTGAAGGGTGAGGAAGAAGCCTGTGGCCCCTGAATGTGAATCTTGGCTCAGGAACGCAGGGAATGAGTTGAATGGGAAATGTCCCTGAAATGAGTGCGGTCCGTGGCAGTGTTGAAGCAGACAGCCACGTGGTCATAGTATACCACATGGGGAACTGGGGCTCAGGCGCTCATCATCCAGCCCTGCCCCTAAAGTCTTCCTCCACTGCTGGCCAAAGCAGGAGTCTCAGAAGCCAATAATCTAAGTTGGACCAAAAGCCCAGGACCAGCCACAGAGCTCTTAGTCCTCACCCCTCCCAGGGGATCCTGTAGTGTCACCAAGATATGCATCTGGAAGTCTGTGACCAAAGCTCCAGCCCTGGCCTCCCTTCTGAGTTGCAGCTGCTGAAGCTGTCCTTGGAGGCTTCCTTGCACTGAGCCTGAAGCCATTTAACATCAAACCCCTTTCCCTCTCCACCTGCCTTGCAGCACCAGTTCTCGCTCCTTCCCCCGCATCACCTGGCCACCCAGGCCTGAGGACCCCACCTCCCCTTCCGCATTACAATAAGTGTCCTGTTTTCCTCTCCCTCCAGCTCTGCCCTGCCAGGTCTACGTCTTCTCTTTCAAAATTTCCCAAACTACTCCAGGTAGAACCAGCTATATTATTTGTGGGGCCCAGTGTGAAATGGTCCTTTGTTCAAAAATTATTAAGAATTTCAATTTGACTGAACACAGCATCTAAAAAAAAAAACAAACAAACAAACAAACAAAAAAAAAAAACCTGGGTGAGGTGGCTCATACCTGTAATCCCAGAACTTTGGGAGGCCGAGGTGGGTGGATCATGAGGTCAAGAGTTCACAACCATCATGGCCAACATGGTGAAATCCCGTCTTTACTAAAACACAAAAATTAGCCAGGTGTGATGGTACGCACCTGTAATCCCAGCTACTCAGGAGGCTGAGGCAGCAGAATCACTTGAACCTGGGAGGTAAAGGTTGCAGTGAGCTGAGATCGCGCCATTGCACTCCAGCCTGGCGACAGAGCAAGACTCTGTCTCAAAAAAAAAATAAATAAATAAGAAGAATTTCAAGACAGCCACAGGAGATGATAAAACCAAGTGCAGGGCCCTTCCAGCACAGGTTGCAAGCCCATGAAGCCAGCCCTGGCCCCATTTTTCTTATATTCCCACAGAACCTCAGTGGGACCATGTGGGCTGCCCACTGTGGCTCAAAGGTTTTGCGTACATGCCCATTGTCCCCTCTAGGCTGTCAGCTTCATGGGGAAAGGAGCTCTTATCTCTGCATGTCCTAAAGGGTGCATCCAGATGCCTTGCGTGTTGAGCTGGTGCTCAATAAACAGCGAATTGCATTACATTGCATTGGTGGATATTTATGTATTGCTAATGCAAAGTGAAACCAGCAGGTGGCACTGTTCTCCACCCAAGGATTAAATGCTCATTTTATTTAAATTTAAAAACCAGGCCTCAATCCCAGCACTTTGGCAGACCAAGGCGCAAGGATAGCTTAAGCTCAGGAGTTCGAGACCACCCTGGGCAACAAAACAGGACCCTCCCCTCATCTCCACAAAAAATTTGAAAATTAGCCGGTGTGGTGGTGCACGCCTGTAGTCCCAGCTATGGGGTGGGGGCAGGGGGATCCTGAGGTGGGAGGATCACTGGAGCCCAGGTAGTAGAAGCTGCAGTGAGCTGTGATTGTGCCACTGCACTCCAGCATGGGTGACAGAGGGAGACCCTTTGGGGGTTTATACACACGATTCTACATACTTCCAAGGAATTTCCAAACACTAAAACCTATTTATGGATTAATTTCATCCTCTTCATATTAGAATCATTTACCAAGCTATAAAAATTAGATATACTGGCCACATCACAGAACAATTCTATTAAAATCTCTGGGTGTGGAGCTCAGACATCTGTATTGTTTGAAACCCTCCCATATGAATCCAGTGAGCAGCCAGGATTGAGCCACTGCCATACTCAGTATTTCCTCCTCATTTTATAGACGGGGAAACTGAGGCTCTAAGATAGGAGGCTAAGGCCACAGCAGATGGCAAAGCCTACAGTTAATTCGAAACCTGCACTCCTACCACTAAATCTGGGGCTCTGAGTTTCTCTTAATTCTCGTTCTCCCACGCTGCTGTGTGTAGGTGATGTGTGTGTTGCAGAGGGTGAGGATGGGGCACGTAGTGAGGACAAGGCCAAGACCTCCCAGTTTACCAGCTCTCATGCTGCCTGGTGTTCCACCATTATTAACAAGTTAGTTGCACAGTTTAAGTATTGACCTTGGGCTGGCTCTCCCTCTCTCTCTCTCTCTCTCTCTCTTTCTCTCTTTTCTTAACTTCTATTAAGTTATAACTACAGCATAGATAAAATTATCTGATACCTTCCCTCCCTGGGCAGGGCACAGACAGCTGAGGGCACAGACCTGTGAAGGTGGCAAGGGAGAGAGGAATTGGTTTTAAGGGAAGTGAAACCCACAATACATCTATACAGTTTTGGTCAGATGTGGTGGCTCACGCCTGTAATCCACTTTGGGAGGCTGAGGCGGGCAGATCACTTGAGGTCAAGAGTTCCAGACCAGCCTGGCCAACATGGTGAAACCCTGTCTCTAGTAAAAACACAAAAATAGGCTGGGCCCGGTGGCTTACGTCTATAATCCCAGCACTTTGGGAGGCTGAGGCAGGTGGATCACCTGAGTCAGGAGTTCAAGATGAGCCTTGCTAACATGGTAAAACCGCATCTCTACTAAAAATACAAAAATTAGCTGGGTGTTGTGGCTGGCATGTGCCTGTAATCCCAGCTACTTGGAGACTGAGATAGGAGAATCGCTTGAACCCAGGAGGTGGAGCTTGCAGTGAGCTGAGATCACGCCACTGCACTCCAGCCTGGGTGACACAGCAAGACTCTGTCTCAAAAAAATAAAAATACGAATACAAAAATTTGCCAGGCATGATAGCATACACCTGTAATCCCAGCTACTTGGGTGGCTGAGGCACAAGAATCGCTCGAACCCAGGAGGTGGAGGTTGCTGTGAGCCGAGATTGTGGCACTGCACCCCAGCCTGGGCAACAGAACCAGACTGTGTCAAAAAAACACAAACTAACAACAAAAAAGTCTATAAGGTTTTGTCACAGGTCAGCTCTAAGCATACTCACCAAAAGGGCCCCCTAGAGAGGCCTGGCTCTGTTCCAGACCCCAAGCGACAAAGGCAGGCAGAGTAGGGGTGACACAATAATGCATTTAGAGGGCAAAATGATAAGCCCCCACTACGGCTGACTGCTGGCCATCAGTTGGGCACTTTCACCTTTGCTATCTAATGTAACCTAATCATAAACCTTGTGGCATCCTGTCATATTTACAGGTCCTCAGGGAGAGAGAATTATATATGTTGTATATAACATGGGGCAGAAATCTTGCAGGCCATCTTAGAATTCTGTCTTCTCCCCAAACAACATAGCAAATCACTGGAAGGGAGATGTGTTTCGCTTGTAGACCTTCCCACACCCCATGCAGATATTGTCC